AAAAAAATTAAAACTGCAAATAAACATATTTTACAAATTAAAAAAAAGCTTTACAAATAAAAAGAAAAAAAAAGTAGATGTAGAACATCTATATTTCTTCTTAGAAATTTTACATAGTCCTTGAGGGTATTTGCCCTTAACAGGATGCTCCCTGACAAATGCAGACAAATGGAATCACGGTAAAATAAAACCACTCTCATGCAGATATGTGGTACGCATGAGGAAGTCCAAAGCTGTATGAATGAGTCTTTGACTCTGAAATGAGTTTTCGACTCCGGGTTAAATTTTTTTGTGAAGGATCTTAATCTGCTAAGCCAATTCCCATAGTGTTCTAAGAAGCACGGGATTCATTTTGCTAGGATTAGGTAGACTACATGAATTGTATTTGTTCAAGATCATATTGGTTTCACAGTCTTTGCCACTGATTTTAAGAAACCTGAGGAACTTAAAATGTTATACTTATTTCTTCTGTACACTTTACCTATTTATTTAGCAGTATTTCTGCAACCTTCTGCTTTGAATTTATAGTATGTAACTACTTTTGACAAATTAGAGAAATATGGGAAATTAGGGAAATAAAGACAGCCTTCTCTTCTTATGACAAGAGATAACCTGTTCTTATCTTTAATCTATCTTTTTAATATCTTTATCAATAATCTGGATGAGGGGATCGGATGCACCCTCAGTAAGTTCACAGATGACACTAAAAGCTAGGTGGGTGTGTTGATCTGCTTGAGGGTAGGATGGCTCTGCAGAGGGATCTGGACAGGCTGGACTGATGGGCTGAGGCCAATGGTATGAGGTTCAACAAGGCCAAGTGCCGGGTCCTGCACTTGGGTCACAACAACCCCATGCAGTGCTACAGGATTGGAGTGGAGTGGCTCGAAAGCTGCTTGCAGAAAAGGACCTGGGGGTGTTGGTGGACAGCCGGCTGAATATGAGCCAGCAGTGTGCCCAGGTGGCCAAGAAGGCCAACGGCATCCTAGTCTGTATCAGGCATAGAGTGGTGAGCAGAACTAGGGAAGTGATTATCCCCTTGTACTCTGCACTGGTGAGGCCCCACCTCGAGTACTGTGTTCAGTTTTGGGCCCCTCACTACAAGAAGGACATTGAGGTGCTGGAGCGTGTCCAGAGAAGGGCTACAAAGCTGGTGAGGGGTCTGGAGAACAAGTCTTATGAGGAACAACTGAGGGAACTGGGGTTGTTTAGCCTGGAGAAGAGGAGGCTGAGGGGAGACCTTATCACCCTCTACAACTACCTGAAAGGAGGTTGTAGAGAGGTGGGGGCTGATCTCTTCTCCATGGCGAAAAGTGACAGGACAAGAGGAAATGGATTCAGGTTATGTCAGATGAGGTTTAGACTGGATATTAGGAAAAATTTTTTCACTAAAAGGGTTATTAGACATTGGAATAGGCTACCAGGGAGGTGGTGGATTCACCATCCCTGGAGGTGTTTAAAAAAACAGTAGATGTGCTGCTTAGGGACATGGTTTAGAGGTGGTTGTCACGGTAGGTTGATGGTTGGACTTGATGATCTTAAAGGTCCCTTCCAACCTTAGCGATTCTATGATTCCATGATTCTATGATTCTATGATATTGCTGCTTCTACTGTGTTGTCTGATAAGAACGGTACACCTGGGAAACCTGTTTCTCTGTCTTTGTTGTGTTCTAGTACCAAGAGTCTTCAACACAGGATGGCTACTGGATGCTTTAGGGTGGCCTTGGGATTAGGAATCCAATTCCATGCTTCCATGTTGTGCTGGCTTAAATCTAATGATTCTGGGGAGTTTATGCCTGATTTACAGAAACATAAGTGAGATCAGAGCTAAAAATATATCTGCAGAATTATTTAGGCATTTACTCTTAAGGGATATATTCCTCTGTTTATATGAATTAGGTGCCTATGTGAATGCTCTTAGGACTGGAGAGAACAGATCCAAAAGAGGATTCCTAAGTGTAGGCATTTCATGGCTCCATATAATCACACAGACAATACTGCTCATGAAAAGTACTTCAGACACCTTTGCAAAAAAAGCATCCAAGCTCTTAAGACAGCAAAGAAATGTGGTTCTGCATACAGACTGTATATTTAAATGGCTTGAAGTAAGCAAGTTTAAATAGTTAATATCTGAATTAATTTAATTATTGATTTTTTTAAAAAAGTAGTTGTATATTGGCTAATGAAAACCTAGAAACCTTTTTAAAATCTTGGTGTTTATCATCCTGGAAGATGTTCATAAATGATCATAAACTGGGATACATGTTGCCTAGCATACACTTGTACAACATTGATCAGATTTCAGACTTCAATTGATTTCTTTCCTCACACTTTCTGGAAAATCTGAAGTTGTTTAAGAATTCCACCTGGATTGGAGGGAGGCAAAGTTTGCAAGGAGAGATAATATATTCATTAGACTAGCTGATAACGGTGGAAAAAATGCACAAGCTTCCAAGCACACAAGGCCTTCAGTGAGACTCCTTCAGAAGAATGAGCTTTGAGATGATTCCTGAAAGAGCCCTCAGCTGCATGGCCTTCTGCTGCAAGGAATTATCATGTCAATGGCCAGCATCATGCCTGGTCATTGAACAAGCATCCAGGGTGATGGGCGTGGGCTTGAGTCAGCATTTGGGGCTGATACACAAATGGCACAAGAACCAGGTGTTTTTGGAGGAGGAGTGGTAAAAGCTGAGGAAGAGGGGAACAAGGAGGGGTGTGATGCTGTGACACAGACATCCAAAGGAGAAAGAGCCATAGGAGAGTCACTGTCAGGAAGAACTGGCCAAGGGAAAAGGCCTGTCTGGAGCTACCTGGGTAATGGGCAAGTCCTAAACTATTAAGGTGATGACCAAATTCATGTGTCTGAGGAGCAAGGCTACTAACATCTTATCATGATGTAGCGTCTCGAAGTTTATGAGGTAGATGAAATACAAAATAAGTGTGGTGGGTTTTTTTCCTGTGAGAGGTAAAAAACTCCAGCGGTACAATGGAGTTTGGCATTGGATGAGATAAGATCCTGTTACGCTGCTCCTACCTGGGAGCAGGCTGTGATAGCATCTTAACACTTGTTTTTCCTTTCCATGCAGCTGAGAAAAGCAATACTGACTTACTGTGTACTCGCTCCTTGTAAACAGAATCATAATCCACACCATGATTGCTACATGATGTCTTTATAACCTCTTCGCAAAAACAATAAACGGCCTCTCCTTGGGCCCTTCTCTGCCCCAGGAACAGTCCAGTTTAAAAACCACTAGCTTAGTAATACCCTCCTAAATGACAATAAATGGGAGACATATGCTGCGAATAACTGCTGATGGCCAGAAAGCAAATAAAAAGGGAATTAATTCTCTTTTTCAGTCATAGAATCACAGGATGGCTGAGGCTGGAAGGGACCTCTGAAGATCATCTGGTCTAACGCCCCCTGCTCAAGCAGGGCTACCTAGAGCCAGTTGCCTTGAACCATGTCCAGATGGCTTTTCAATATTTCCAAGGATGGAGCCTCCATGATCTCTCTGGGCTACCTGTGCCAATGTTTGGCCAACTTCACAGTAAAAAAGTGTTGCCTAATGCTCAGAGGGAACTTCCTGTATTTTACTTTGTGCCCATTGTCTAGTCCTGTCACTGGGCACCACTGAAAAGAGCCTGGCTCTGTCCTTTTTGCACCCTCCCTTGAGATATCTATATACATGGATGAGGTCCCTCCCAAGCCTTCTCTTCTCCTGGCTAAACAGTCACAGTTCTCTCAGCCTTTCCTCACAGGAGAGATGCCCCAGTCACTTAATCATCTCTGTGGCCCATTGTTGGACTCTATCCAGCATGTCCATGTCTCTCTTGTACTGAGGAGCCCAGAACTGGACACTACTCCAGGTGCAGCCTCACCAGTGCTAAGCAGAGGTGAAGGATCACCTCCCTTGGCCTGCTAGCAATACTTTGTCTAATGCAACCCAGAATACCATTTGCCTTCTTTGCGGCAAGGGCATGTTGTTGGCTCGTGTTCAAGTTGGCGTCCACCATGACCCCCATGTCCTTTTCCGCCAAGATGCTTTCCAGCTGGTTGGCCCCCAGCTTATATCAGTGCATGGGGTTGTTCTTCTTCAGGTGCAGGACTTTGCACTTCTTGTAGAAATTCATGAAGTTGCTGCCAGCTCATTTCCCCAGGTCACTCTGGATGGTAGCATGACCTTCTGGCATATCAGACATGCCTCCCAGTTTTGTGTCATCAGTAAACTTGCTGATGGTACACTGTGACCCATCATCCAGATCATTAATGGAGATGTTAAGCAGGACTGGACCCAGTATTGACCCCTGGGGTACAACACTAGTTACTGGCCTCCAACTAGACCTCGTGCCGTTGATGACCACCCTCTGGGCCTGGCCATTCATCCAGTTTTCAATTCACCTTAATCACTGTAGATAAGGAAAAGTTAGCTTAAGAGAGCATGCAATGGCACAAGTTTGGCTGTGTTGAAAGCAGTAAGTAAGGTTCTTCACACCCTCAACCTGCAGCCTTGTTAAGCCGGTCATAGGGCTGTCCGAACAGCCTAAGCGACAACACCAACACAATAACTATGCCAGCACCAGACAGGATGGCTTTTTCTGCTCTTTACTATGATTGCTTCATTTCTTTTTTTCCCTGCTCAACATCTGCTCCAAGTATTCACCTCAGGTAGTGAATCAGTGAAGAAGAGTCAAGAATTGAGGAACTCATACTTAAGCCTCAAGGAAGCCACAAGCCCTTTTCTTTACTATCTAGGGTGGAGAGCACAAAAGGCATTCAGTTTCCACCGTGTGTTCTCAGTACCCAACTCACATTTATTGGAACATGGAGATATTTCTACAAGGTTTAGAAACACTTCACTTGTACAGTTTAGAGTCATTTGACACAGCCTCGTTTCCCTGAAGCAGCTTTCTTCTTAGACTTGTTTTCTAAAATCAACCTGATGTCTTTTTTTTTTCCATTCTCAGGTACAGAGAGTAGCACTCTGTAAGAAGGGGACACTTACTCAGTATTTTGTGTATCGATTGTGTGAAAAAGTTCATGCAGTTCTTCTTCACTCAGAACTCCATCAGCAAAGTAAGCTTTGAATTCATCAAAGGACAGTTTTCCATCATCTGAAACAATGAAGAAATGGAAAGTGTCTTAGTTTCATTTATGGTTTTGCTGGTTTATTTCATGCAGTAGAGGAGGAAGTTATTAAAAAACGCTAGCTCTTTAGATTAAGTGTAAAAACTTTACATATTTGATCAAAACACATAAAGAACATGATTTTAAACGCATCAGCTGTTGTATCAGAGTTCTCAGTTTGCCTGGTAACTCTGGTATTCTTCCTCCTTCTCATCTTTCAAGCAGAGATAGCTGGTTTTGGTAAGTCTCTATTGATAAACACATCAATACAATCCCATCTTTGCCCTGATCCCATTCACTGCGGCTTCTCCCTGTCATGCCCCCATGCTTCCCTTATTTGCTCCCTGCCAGTGTCCCCACCTCTGCATAGAAGACCAGTGACCTCCTAAGACTGAGGGGGACAGAGAAAATCCAGGGAAATGAAAACATTTGTTGAAAGAACACATTAGTTCAATGAAAATTTCTTCAGCTCTCTAGAGTTATTTATTTCCCTCTCCTTTTCCCCCTCTTTCTTTCCTCTGCTCTCTGCCTCCCACGCGGGAGACTGAGACTCAAGTGAACAATTCAGTAGCAATAGGGATCTGGCCCTGGCTCTACTCTCTAGCTAAGGACACTAATCAATACACCGATTTCCAGCATTTTGATTCTCTTTCCTCATAAAATACATCTTTCTCAAAAAGCTCTATGCTTGCTGTGGACTTAACAAAATAAATAAAAGTTTTCCTTTCATGTGATAGGAAGCCAGCTTTGTGTCCTCTTCCACTGGGAAGAATTTCAGCTCATTTTCTTGGTCAGCATAGAAAATAAATTTCTATTTGCCGGCATGTAATTTGGCTGGATATTACACAAAAATTTAGGAATGAGAAAAAAGGTTTTGGACATATATCAGAGTTCATTCAAAATCCTCAGATGGATTTTCAGATGGAGTTTGGATTGGCCATGTAATATACAGTGAAGCCCAACTATGAAGAAGTTGACTTTATCTTTTAAGTATCTGCTGTTCTCATTTGTTTGGGACAAAACCGGTCATCACCACATGGGTCCTGATCATCGTCTATAACATGCTCATGTAGTTAGGAAGTGTCTACAGGACTAACAGGCCTCAGGGGGAGGGGCAGTACCATATGATAACATTTAGAAGAACAGTAATGGGTTATACATTAATTCAAGAGGATTAAGTCCTTCTTACAATCTCTACTACACTATTTAGTGGAGACTGTTTCACCTGTTTCTTAGTTTAACTTTAATTATAGCGAGCCCTTGACTACATGAGGCAAAATGCTTGCGCTGAGATGTGTTAAGCAAAGATTAATTCATCTGTTATTTTCAGGATGCTACCACTTAAGACTGAAGCCTTACCCTCCTTTTGTCAGATCAAATTCTGCACAACCATCAATGCTTTCTAAAGGGTATTCCAATAAATACTACGGCATTTAATTGAAGAAGGGATCCTATTTGTATCTCACCTCATCTATGCATGTCTGAAAATCCCAGAGAAGGTGCTGTCCCGCAGATATCCCATGCTTTGCTTTTTTTTTTTTTTTCATAAGTGACATCAGAAATTGAGAAAATGTACTGCAATTTGGACAGCCTGTCCCACCCACGGAGGGGCAGAGTTAGGTTATCATCTGTTTTTGAAAGCAGGACCCTGGGATGCGAGGAGCATTAGACTCTTAACTCTGGCCTCTAATCATATCGCAATGACTATTTAAACAACATATGACAGTCAGCACAACTAATATGTTCCTGTGTTTATGATTCAAGACTGAGAAGAAGGAATCAATTAATAAAAGAAATGTAAGATAGTTCTGTTTGCTGAAATGAATGAGAGCCTGGATGGGGCTTTGAAGGACATTGCATAGAAGGTGATGCAAGAAACCAACTAATGCTTGTCAGCAGGATGTTAGAAGAGTAACAGACAGACGTTTGTAAATGGAAAGCTGACCCCACAGAAGTCCACGAGATTTCATCAGGGATCCCTCAACAACAGCTGACATTTGATTCTGTCCTGAAGAACAAGTGTCCTCTTTTCTTTACTGTACAGGCATGACTTCAGAAGAAGTGTGTGGGTCAGGATGAGGCAAAGCCGTAGCTCCATTAATATAGTTATGGCAATTTGTTCCTCATTGACTAGTGTATATGAGTGAGTTTTAAATGCAAGATTGATAATCAGCAAGCAAACGCCGAAGAAAAAAAATCCACCTGTTGCTTTAACTTAGAAGTTGAAATGTTTAAACAGCAGTTAAGTAATAATTTATCTAAACTGATTGACCCTTTGCATGAAGGATAGATAATATTTTCAGAGCCTAACCCTTCATAACTCTGTTTTGGTTAGCACTAAGTAAGTTCTCATCCCTCTCCCTCTTCCTTCAGTAACGTACTGAATGACTCACAGGGCAATAAACAACTGTGGAGGATAAGACTACAATGCCCTAAGCACTAGATAAATCTACAATATATTGTGGCCTAATTTTATAGTGATGAAGAAACTATTATAAAGATAGTATCTGAATCCTGTAACTACATGCTGTACTACAGCATAGAGATTTGAAAAATAGAGCTGAGGCATTTCCTCAGTCTTTTACTTGTTCTTATTTCATAATTTCTTTGACTTGAACATGGCTTCAAATATGTAATCTTCAAGATGTTTCAAAATTGGACAAATTGAATGTCTGCTTCAACAAAAACATTTTGAAATGTGCAATATGAGAACGCAGATTGTAGCTGGGGATAATCATCATTATGATCAAAATAAAATGTCAGGATCTGCAAGAGCTAAAAACCAAGATGGCACAATACTTTGTCGAAGGTATGCAATTTTCTTTGACAGAACTGCCATGATTACCTAATTGATAATCTAAAAACATCTGCCATTTGGCACTGGTTACAGAGAAGGAATATCAAATATTGACTGTGTTTAAATGAGCTTCTTTTCACAGCTATGCTTCCTTTGGCTTATACGGATACAATTGATTGTTTAATCAAACTGCCTGTGCAGCTTTAGCCTTTGCTGGGAAGCGTGATTTGCATGCAAGTTATACACATACTCAAGAATCTGGTGATTTTTGGCAATTTTTCTGAGATAAACATATTATGAGTTTACTTACAGAACAGTCTGGGTATGACACAAAATCTGAATCATCTGTCTGTTTATCTCCATTTTTCAGGATCATTGGTTTCACACCAATTCAGAAAATCAATGATCTGTCAACAGCCAGATCGGGAACTTTAGCTATTTTCTTTAAATTTTACCATTCAAGAGCAGACATTGCCTTTTGCTTCATTGCTATTTATTCTCAAAAACATTTGGAATGTTATTGACATTGACTGACACATGGCTGAGCTTGTTGCTGGCAAAAGCCAAGGAGATTTGAACCTATGCAGTTACTTACAGACTTCACAGAGTTACGTTTACTGAAAAAAGCTCTGATTCTTCAGTGCATCTCTCTGACTTTGTATGAGTGTAACTGCTTTGCTAGTTACCCCTGCCACCCCTGCACTTCCTCAGTGCTCAGACGAAGCTCAGACCCAACCTCTAACAAGTGCTCCTTGTGCTGTTTAATTGAAGACACATTTGCCTAGCCAGGTTTTTTTTTCAAGTGTCAAGAATGGCTTTTATTTTAAAGGCTGCATTACATATCCTCAGCACTGCCTCCCTGGGGCACACCTCGCTGCCCTCAGAGCGCCCAGATAAATACTGTCTGATTTAAGTGCTTCAGAGCAGCTGAGCAGAAACCTTTATTACAGATGTTTCAATCCTTGTCACTGGCAAAGCGACAGGGGATGGATGATTCATGAAAGACAAAATTCTCTGAAGCCACGCATCCCTCAGACAAATCAATCTTCAGCAGCGTTTGCCTTGGCAATGTTATCTCAAAGCAGCTGTTTTGCAAGCCTTGCTTGCTTTTGTCTATCTTCTCCGATGTCTTTCAAAAGCAGGGTTTCTTCAAAAACAGGCAAAGTTGCCCATCCTCCTTGAAGCCAAAACACCCCTGGCTGGCAGACAAAAATATAAATAATAAAATGAATCTCCGTTTAGAAATACATTTACACGGTGTTTTTATTTCTATAAAGATGAAATGACTACTTTTAATTGGGTTACAATTGCATTCTTACATTCATTTCAGTCTCAAATTCACCTCTCTATTGAATAGATGTTTTTATGGGTAAAATGGGCCCAAGTGATATTCCCCAGCTAGTCCCCTCCAGAAACACTAGTAATCTCCAGGACGCATTTTGGAGAGCTTATGGCTTCAATAGACAACAGCATATCTGACCAAGGAAAGCCACATACATACTCTCTTTTTGAGCTGAAAGATGGCTTCAGTGAGTGAAAAGATATCAAGCAAATTATGAACAAGAGCACGTATATATTTGGAATCTATGTGCCCAAAGATGATGGCAAATGGTGAGTCTGCAGCCAGTGAAGGAAGTTACAGTGATGCAGAGGAGCAGGATGTCTCACAGAGATGCCAGCAAATGCTGGAGGGCAACAAAACAGCTTCCACTCCAATCTATTTCAGGCAGTCTTTCCATAGCAGGAGCCACATCAGATGGAACTGGTATGGCTGAATGGCAGCCCTAGGGCTTATGGCAATGGGAAGAGCCACATGGAAGAGCTTATGGCAATCGGAAGGAAAAACCCCACTGGGCTAAAGCGTATCCTGGGATTCACCTTGGTGTGCTCTATGAGCACAATCCTCTACCTTTGTAGGGCAAAATTAGCAAAGGGAGAAGAGGTAACAAGTGAAAACAACAAATAGAAAAATGTCCTGTGTCAGAAAGTATTTATTCCCCAGGAAGGTACAAGTTGCACTAGGAAATGACAGCGATCAAAACGAAGCAGCCAATTCTGCCATGGGAAAAGCAAGGGCCAAAACCCCAGCCCCATCCAGGCCCTCACAGTTCTCAATGGGAGCTGCCTTCCTAAATCTCTCCTGGGAATAGTGATGGCCCTTTATGGCTTTTTGAAATCTGGCTGCCTCTG